TAGAAAACAAAGAAAAACTATGTACATGTGCAGTACAAGCACTTTTTTGAGGCTGAGTCTCGGGTAGCACAGGCTAACTTCAAAGTTCTTGTGTAGTCAAGGAAGACCTGCTGACCCCCTGTCTCTAACTTTCCAAGTGCTAGGATTACAGGGGTATGCTACCACAGGGAGTATTTGTTGGACTAGAGATCAAACCCAGGACCTCATGCATGCTAAGCATGCAGGTTCTCAACCAACTGAGCTACATCTACAACTCCAGACATTTGTTTCCCCTCCAGATATTTTTCCATCTGAGTTTGGATGAATCTCTGAATGCAGAGCTCATGGGCACAGACAGCTAATTGTACCCAATTACCACAAACGGCTGATTGAAATCTTCATGACTGAAAAGATTTGGAATGTTAAAAAGTGCACTCATTTTTTTCTCCTTAAAACAAAGAGCATCTGAGAAAAAAAAATACAGTACCTCACTCCTAGAACAAGCCTTGAACGCTAATGACTGTTCTTCTATCAGAAATGCCCCTTCACTGTCAACCATGGTGACTTTCTTCCAGATCTAGCTGAAAAGGGTACATTTGTCTCTAATCCCCCAAGAATAATTGCTTCCTTTTCACACTGAAACATGAACTGTAGTACATGACTTAAGTAAATCATGACCAAACAATAAGTATCTGTCTCCATGGTTTTAATAAAAGCTTAAAGTCAAGCTGACCCTAGGGGCTCAGACCTGTAATCCTAGCTACTTGGAAGATTAAGGAGGACTGACCATAAGGTTCAAGATCTGCAGCTATACAGTGAGTTCAAGGTCAACCTGAGTAGCTTAGATGGATGATACATTCAAATTAAAATTGAAAAACAGAGATGGGTATGTGTGGTGGAACAAGTCTATATCCAACTTTTGGGAGGCAAAGGCATCCCAAGCCACAAAGAGAGTTTGAGGTTAGAGAGTCAGGGTTAAGACCCTGTCTCAAAATCAAACCAAAATAAACAAATAAATAAAAGGTTTATGCCAGCATGGTGGCATACCTTTAATCCCAGAACTGAGGAGACAAAGGTAGTAGTTCTGTTCATTCATGGCTAGTCTGATCTACATAGAAAGTTCTAGGACAGCTAGAGCTATGTAGTGAGACCTTACCCCCCCAAAAGAACAGGAGAGAGAGAGAGAGAGAGATGGGGGTGGGGGACAAGTTGTACCTTTCATTGCCTTAGTCTCTTCCCTGGCACCTTATGTCAGAGTTAGGAAAGGGTTGAGTAAGAAAATATGCTAAGAAACCAACAGCGAGTTATACCACAGGATGGGGAGTGCAAAATCCTCCTTTTGTCAAATTCTCTTTAAGTGCTAGGGGTTCTGCCTTCTCAGTCACTGATAAAAAGAAAAACAAGCATTGTTCTCTGGGCAGCCTGCTTCCAAGACAGATCTAATGTCTTTATACAACTCTTCAACTTATCAGATAACCTCCATGCCAGAAATACTCCTATGACCTTTTCTGTGTTCTTGTGATCTTACGAAATGTTAAAAATCTACTTTTTCCTTCCTTCCTTCCTTCCTTCCCTCCCCCCCCTCCTCCTCCTCCTCCTCCTCCTCCTCCTCCTCCTCCTCCTCCTCCTCCTCCTCCTCCTCCTCCTCCTCCTCCTCCTCCTCCTCCTCCTCCTCCTCCTCCTCCTCCTCCTCCTCCTCCTCCTCCTCCTCCTCCTCCTCCTCCTCCTCCTCCTCCTTCTTCTTCTGGGTTTTATGAGACAGGGTTTCTCTGTATTGTTTTGGAGGCTGTCGGTCCAGCCCGGCCTCGAACTCACAGAGATCCGCCTGCCTCTGCCTCCCGAGTGCTGGGATTAAAGGCATGCGCCACCACTGCCCAGCCCAAGCATAAGCTTTCTAACTCAATCTTTTCTTGCTGTTTCTGCATCTGCTTACCCTGTGCTATTTCCTGTATTTCACCCAGTTCTCATCTACACTCATAAGTTATTTTTGCTTTCATTTTAAAACCCTCAAAACATTAAAAGTAGACCATACAATTTTCTCTCATGCGGGAATGTTTCATTCACAGCTGTCCAATTTAATATTATTTGTACCACTCTAAAAGTCAGTTTGAGTCAAATAGCAGAGCAGGCTGCACATATAACCGTGTAAAAGTGCCAGAAACTCACTTTCAATTTCCATTCTACCTGAAGCTGTCTCTCAATGTGCGTTTAAGTGACACTCATTATCTGATGTCTGAAGCTGTCTCTCAATGTGCGTTTAAGTGACATTCATTATCTGATGTCTGAAGCTGTCTCTCAATGTGCGTTTAAGTGACACTCATTATCTGATGTCTGAAGCTGTCTCTCAATGTGCGTTTAAGTGACATTCATTATCTGATGTGCCAGGCGCTGTGCTAGGTCCTAGGGACACAGAGGTAACTAACCCGAGGGGCATGGCTTAGTGGCCATGACAAGAGCGGCTTAGATTTACAGTGTAGTGTGATAAGTGCTGTAGCCACAGAGGCCACATGGCTGGACGAGAGTGCTCCACCTCAGGAGACTCAGTGCGGACTCAGCCAGCGAGAGTCTGCCTGCTTCCAAAGTCTGTGATTTCCCTCAACCCCCAACAGTCAAATAATGAAAACACCTGTGCATTAGCTTAATCCGTACAGCACTGTGTGAAATCGTACCTGTCTCAGGTCATGTTGTGACCCAGAATTGTACACTGCTTGCTAGCTGGAACTAAGCATCTAAGCACAGCCTTTGCCCTCCATTACCTTAGCCTGGGTTTCCTCAATCTCCACATGCAGAGACAGAATCTTTTGTTGCTGAATTAGTAATGACCCAAGTGTCTTACCTTCTTGTCCCATTAACTGTACTTAAATTCTGTTACTGTACTTATTTTTAACTACCACCATCTTCAAACAAACAAGCACTATCCCTCCCCCAAAATCAGCTGGCTCTCAAAAGGACACCTATGTGAGCCAAACCACCCCAGAATCACAAATGCACTGATGCCTTACACAAACCCAGTCCCCATACTGAAGGGGCACCTATTATCATCGTCTGTGTGCCGTTTCTATCCCAGAGCCCCCTAGAACTCATGTGCTCCTACCATTCTATTTGACCAGTTCTTAGCAAAATTTATCTAACTTCTTATAGACTAAGGATATAATACAAACAAAACTGATTACACCTCCATTGCCTTAGTGGGGTAATATGAACACAAGCCAGTCCTCCAAAATCGGATGACATGTTTCATTAAAATCTTTGCATTACCCAGAAATGGTATTCTCGGGCAACCTTGTCAGCTCTCCATTATGAGAGAAATACAAATCAGGCCACCCATTTCTGTTCCTTATCACAGCAACTGAAGTCCTCTTCCAGGTGAAGGCAATACAATGAACAGAGCAGATCCTACCATGCTTCATTGAGAAGCTAAACCTATATTCATCTCTAAACTCTAAATAGGACTTTTCAGAGTCCTGCTGGGTCTCATCAGAAGAGCAGCTTGGGAGGGGGGGCTGCACACTCCCCTGCTCCCTTCTCCACAAGTGCCACTCTATTTCTAGTTCCCTGTAGGGAGGTGTTTGGAGCTACTATAAACATCTTGTCAAGTAAAATGTTACTTTCTCTAGGCAGACTAGTTTCTGTTAGACTTTTAATTTTGTCTGTCCTATCTATCTATCTATCTATCTATCTATCTATCTATCTATCTATCTATCTTTTTGATAGAGTTTCCTCATGTAGCCTGGAACTTGCTTTGACAACCAGGCTGCCTCAAACTCAGAGATCCACCTGCCTCTTATATATTTATTTGTTTGTTTGTGGTTTTGAGACAGGGTTTCACCTTGTAGTCCCAGCTGTCCTGGAACTTGCTTTGTGGACAAGACTGCCTCAAACTCAAGAGATTTACCTGCTTCTGCCTCCTAAGTGCCAGGGTTAAAAGACTACTACCGCCCAGCTTAACACACTAGTTTTTAACTTCCTAAAAGTCCCCAGTTCTTTTTTTTTTTTTTCTTTTCTTTCCGAGACAGGGTTTGGAGGCTGTCCTGGAACTCTCTCTGTAGACCAGGCTGGCCTCGAACTCACAAAGATCTGCCTGCCTCTGCCTCCCGAGTGCCGGGGTTAAAGGCGTGCACCACCAACGCCCGGCAAGTCCCTAGTTCTTGAGTGGACACATTATTTTATCTAGCTTTTTATTTGCCGACAAACCAATTCTAAACTTTAGGGGTCAAAACCTTTAGAAGCAACCACATGAAACTAGATAGGAAGACATCTGAAACAGTCTCTTCAAGAAAAAAAAGAGTGTCAGGCTCAATCTCCCTACTTCCACAGAACACAGCAAAACCGTCGTCAAATCACTAAATAAGTCCACATTTTTTCCTACTAATACTTCTCAATCTTCTGCCCCAAGTCATTAAATGGATACGAAGAAACAGCTATCCAAGGTCACTCGGGTGGTGCCAGTGCCAAGAGTCAAACGTCCAGTCTTCGGACTGAGAGTTCACGTGTGTGTGTGTGTGTGTGTGTGTGTGTGTGTGTGTGTGTGTGTTTTCCTAGTTCTTTAGACCTAAATACTAAATGTCACCACTGACATCACCCCAGAAGCCAAACTTCTGCCCTATCAAATTGGCACGATCAGCTATTACTTACTCAGTGTCCCAAACCTGTCTTTGCCCTCTGCCCTCTCCCAGATCCTAGCGCTGACCCTCACCCTGCTTTCCGAGCACGCGCCCCAAATTATCAGGATGCTTTTTTTTAACACCAATAAAATAAAATAAAATAAAACACGTGCAAAGCTTGACAACAACAAATGCCCAAAAGAAAAAAAGAAAGAAAAGAGAGAACTGGCTGTCCTCCAAGACTAGGAGGTGGCCACACTGTCTAAATTAATGGGCTCGCTCTCTCACGGCCACGTGGGCAGCGCGGACCTCCTCTAAGATCCGAGATCCCTGTGGCCGCACCGGGCCGGGAGTCGGGGAGGACCTGGTGTGAGACCCAAATCCCCCGCCACCGACGCGCGCGCCCGCGGGCCTCACCTTGAGCGTCTCGTAGGCGGTCGCCACCAGGAGGAAAGCTTCGGCGCTCGGCGGCGCGGCCCCGGGGCCGTCTCCCGGCTCGGGCCGGTAGCGGTCGGGATGGTAGCGCCGGGCCAGCTGGCGGTAGGCCCGCGCGATCTCCGCCTTGCTGGCCGAGCGGCTGACGCCCAGCACCCCGTAGCAGTCGCGCGCGCCGCAGTACAACCCCTCCACCAGGGCCTCGGCGGGCCGCGGCGCCAGCAGCAGCGGCACCAGCAGCAGCAGCAGCAGCGGCGGCGGCGGCGCCGGCGCCATCAGCAGCCATGGGCGCCGGCCGGCAGCCCCCGGTGCCCCGCGCGCCGCCATCCCCGCCTCGCCGCAGCGGCCGCCGGACTCCTTAGCCGCAGCGCTGGGCTCGGCCCCGCCGCCCGTCCACGTCAGCAGGACGCGTTTGTGCGCAGGCGCGCGTGCGGGGAGGCGTGGCGCCGCAGCCACTTCCGGCCTCCGCCCCTTCTCCCTGCCCCCGCGCGCGCGTTGCTAGGTGAGGAGGACGCCTCCGTCGCTGCCGACGCCGCATCTTCCGGCCGACCCCTTCCGGCCTGGAGGGCGGAGCCTCGGCCGCGCAGACGCAGGAGTAGCCACACGCCGCCTGCTTGACCTCGGGTCTTCGCCCCATGGGAGTTGGGCTCTGGAGGCTGCCCTCCTTCCTCCAGGGCTCTCCCCGAGCCGAGGGTAAGCTTAGACAAGTCCGGGCGCTGCCTGTCTCGCAGGAACCCTGAAACTTGATGACCTTTTCGTTCCCTGTGGCTCAGCTTATTGACGTTTTGGAGCCAATCGTTGTTTGCTGGGCGGTGGAAAATGCTTCCTCGTTTCCCTGTACTGGACTGTCTGCAATGGGTGCCGGTAACACCGCCCACCCCCATTCTGACCATAAAAACAGCTCAAGGTGTTGTGCCAGCTCTGGGGAACCCCAGAGACTAACTCAAGGAGTCGACACTTGTGGTGTAGAAGCAAAAGGTTTCTTTTAATCAAGCTGTCCAGCTCGGATCTCTTTCCATGGTGGAGGAAATGGGATGCCCACCAGCCAAAAAGAGAAGCTTTTAAAGGGAAAAAGAGGAGTCCTGAGACTGCAAGTCTCAGTAGGGGTTCCCGTGGTTACAGAGATTGCTTAGGACATCAGGTTTCTATACAAGGTTATCGTGAAGAAGAGCCTTGGGAAGACAATGACTGCATTTGGTTAGGTAGAACTAATTGGCACATCTGTGGGCTGGGATTCCATGGCCAGAGTACATCCATCCTGCGATTGTGGGCTAAGGGAGTAGCTGCCGATGCTGTTGCAGCTGCTCGTGGGTCTGAGCTTCTGATCACGTAACCCCCCTCTCTTAGTTGGGGACTTTTATTTTCCTCATTACATTTCACAAGGGTTTATTTACGCTTAGAGTTCTAGGGAAGGCAGCCTGCCCAGTCGGAAAGGCTGGATAACAAAGCGCTACTAGCCACACTGTATCTGCAGTCCGTATAGACAAACGAAAACGATGACAAGTTTGTTGTCTCCTTCTTTGAGGCAACACACACCACTGCCTGGAAAGCAGAACACACCTCGTGCACGGTGTCAGAGGTTTGTTTCCAGGGTGATTCTAAATCCAGTCAAACTGGCAATTTGGGCATTGCTCTTGAACTTAATTTTGGTCATATTTATAGTGTGTTTCTCACTGCCAAGTAGACCGATAACTCGATGGCCTGATGGTGTGAGACATGTGGTTTATAGCATGGGGACAACATCAATTTCATTGGTAGCTCCATTTTTTAAAATTTAGTCAGGTTTGTATGAATGTAATCTCCCTTTGGCCTTCTCGGTGTATGCCTGCTTTTTTATGAAGTAAATTCTTTTTTTTTTTTTTTTTTTTTTTGGTTTTTACGAGACAGGGTTTCTCTATATTGTTTCGGAGGCTGTCGGTCCAGCCCGGCCTCGAACTCACAGAGATCCGCCTGCCTCTGCCTCCCGAGTGCTGGGAATAAAGGCGTGCGCCACCACCGCCCGGCTATGAAGTAAATTCTTAAGAGTTGCATGTGGAGTGCATGCCTGTAATCCTAGCCTTCAAGATGCAGAAATAGAGGATCCAGGTATTGAAGCTAGCCTGGCCTCAGAAAGAAAAAAAAAAGTTAATATGTATTTTTCCCCTTATTGTTCTTGAAACCCATCCACTTAAGGAGAAAATTCTACCTGCGTCAGCAGCAGTTTTCCTCATATTCTCCATTTGGTACTGCTTAACTCACGGTGTCACCACAACAAGAAAGTAATTCTGATTCCTCCACTCCTCAAGCATTCATATTTGGAATAAGCAGAAAAACAATAGTTAACACAACCAACCCGATTGAGTCTATATCCACCAGAAAGCCACAGAAACATATTGCCACGCAGTGATTGATAATTGTAAGAGGATTCTGTGTCCCCAGCTTGTTCCAATGCACCCAGAGAGCATGCTGGTTCCAAAACTGTCCACCAGAGGGTGCTACCCACTTCTGCAAGAGTATTATGCCTAAAATCTACGGTTTAATGGTTTATACTTGTCCTACCCTTCCTCAGAATTCATGAATGGAGTACCTACTATTCTAAAGTCAAGATAGTTTAACGGCTCAAAGGAGAAATTTAAGAGCAACTCCAATGCCCACTCCTGGTAAATTTTCTATCCGGTTGTTGCGTTGTTGCTAACTTTACCATTTAAACTATGGCAGCTGAACTCGGCTATCAAGAGAAAGAATATTTCCAAAGAAAGATCTCCTAGTCTCAATTAAGTCAGATTCGGTGACAACTTCCTAGATTCTGTCCTGGCTGTGAACTGTTTTATCCTTCTGAAAGAAAACAAGCCCCAAACATGAAAAGAGATGTAACCCTTAACTAAATACACAAAAGATGCCAAGAGGGCTTCTCAGATAGCAAATTATATGATTTTTTAAAAAAAGATTATTACATGAAGTTTAAGAGAATTTGATAAAATCCGCAGTGCTAAAGAACAAAGGATTCTGCTCTCCTGCCTTTGTTGCCCAGTCCCTGGTTTATTCTTATCAAGAAAATATTATTGGGCTGGTGAAAGGGCTCAGTGTGTAAAGCAGCTTGCTGCCTAACCAACCTCTCTGATCCCTAGGACTCACACATGGCAAAAGGGAGACCTCCACAGACATGGGGAGTACACATGTGCACGCAGAAGCAGGGACACACACGTGCATGCGTGCAGGAGCACGCGCACACACACACACACACACACACACACACACACACACGCACGCACACGCGCGCGAAAACCTTTTCTTTAAAAAGATTTCCTGTGAGACCTTGTTCCCTCGAAGTCTTTGGCTCTGATCCCATGTCTAATTGAATATAAGTTACCTAGTCCACAAAAGTGAAGAATAAGCTGTCACCACTGTCAGGGTAAGTGTCCATAGGGAGGGGGCTGGAGCGGTGGCTCATAGATTAAGAGCATTGGCTGTTCTTCCAGAGGTCCTGAGTTCAAGTCCCAGCAACCACATGGTGGCTCACAACCATCTATAATGAGGTCTGATTCCCTCTTGTGGCGTGCAGCCAGAATATTGTATATATAACAAATAAATAAATCTTTAAAAAAAAGTGTTCATGGGACAAGTGGAAAGGTAGTTCTGTGAGAAGGAAGCTATGCAGTCAAGGCTAGGTGCTGGACAGCTTAAACTGAAAAGGAAGCTTCAACAGGAACCTTCTAGTGCATTTTGTGACTGAACAACGCAGAATAAAGAAAGGGTTAAGTGGGAGCCACCAGGAATTATCACTAAAATATCAGCACATGATAAAACCTCATTGTCGGAGGTGAAGATACTTACCTGGAAACACTGACAGGATGGAAAAGACCCAGGGTTAGAAGCAGTCCAAAGCCAAGCAGGTAACTTGATGCCTGAACACCCAGTCTAGTAAAGAAAGATACCACTGTGTGTGTGTGTGTGTGTGTGTGTGTGTGTAATTTTTTTCCAGCAGTTTCCCTAGGTAGAAGAAGGACCTCCTAGACTTAGAGCCATTCAGGTTTCTGCCTGAAAGATCTGACCTCAAGTCTTCCACTGGCCCACAGCCTAGTTCCACTACCCTGTCTTTCTACCACATCCCTCTGCTTTGGGAGAGAATGGCTAGCCCCAGACTTATTTCTGCTCAGGTTACATCCTCCATTTAGATCTATTCTGCTACAGGTTTAGAGACCATGATGGGAATTCCTGGCTACGCTGGTGCAAGATTCACACACATCAAAGCCACACTGTGTGTAGTCCACCTGGGTCCCAGTTGTCCCTGGGAAGACGGTGGTGAACAAGACGGGCGTTTGTGGATGATGGGGACATAGAGAACAAACAAGTAATGAAACAGGTCAACAATTACAAAAAAAAATAGAATGGTTTGGAGACAGGGAAATGTGGGAAGGACTCAGGATTGACATTTAAGGTAAAACCCAAAAGATGAAGTTAAACCAATCAGGCAAAGAGAATATTCTAGATAGGACAAACAGTGTGCTCAAGACAGAGGTTTCAAAGACTTCATTTGTCCAATGACACTGAAGGAAGCCATCAGAGCACGAGTGAAGAGGCTGAGTGGAGGAATGATGGATGACTGAAATCAGCAGGGTGCCTCCAAAACACTTCCCAGTGATGACGAATCCTAAAATACTAGGCAAAGAAGCAGAAAGATGGGGGGATGTGTGTGTGTGTGTGTGTGACACAAAGCACTTTAAGGGAGGGAGTTGTCAGACTTGATTTGCATCTCTAAAGTTCCTTTTGGCCACTGGATGGGGAAAAGACGATGGGAATGAGGCGGACGCAAAAGGACCAGAACAAGTTGTCTGGGAAAATGATGGTGGTTTGGCCCGTACAGCGTTACCGAAGAATGCAAATGCATCATTAAGGAGTATCTGGAAGAGACCCATGATGGACAGACTACAAGTGGGTCGTGGAGAGAGAAAAATGGCAAACTCACTGGACTTGAGAGAGATCAGTCCTCAGTTTCTATGACTTGGAAAGGCCAGAGGGAGCGATGCGTTTAAGATATCTTAGCAAACAAACATCAGTATTCACAGCGGTTCAAACAAGCAAAGGGTTTGTTGGTCTGATGTGACCTTTTGGAACTGATATCAGGATCTCATGATGCTGCTTGTGTCACAATGTCGCAGTATACCTGACCATACTTCGAACCCCGAGATTGCATTATTTGCTGGATAAACCTGTTCCTAGTTGTGACTGTGGCCCAGCTCTAGCACACACACACACAGACACACCTTTAATACAAGAGCTTTCAGCTTATGGTATACAGGATTAAATAAAGTCAGCCTTCAATAGGTGAAGAGGTAGAGCAAGTAACCAGTTGACAGGAAGTAGCCATAGAGAATTAAGAGGGAGTCAGGAGGGGGCATAGAGAGACACTTAGGAAGGAAAAGGAGGAACTTTTTGCTTGGAGTTTTATTTGAGAT